GAGATGCTGCTCGTGTCGTGTGCGGGCGAGGTGCTCGGTCAAGCACGGCTACCGTCACTGGCTGCGTCCTCTGCACAGACTTTCGCCCCTGCTCGACGAAGCCGATGTCGATCTCGACGGAGGTCGTGACTCGGCGGACGATTGTTCCACGACGGGGACGATTGCTTTTTTACGACAAGTAGACGCCGAACAGCACGCGAAGCTCGCGGACGTCGGCGTCGACACGATCAAGAGCTCGGCCTTGTTATCAAGCGTCGGCATATGTCGACTTGCCATGTGTTTCGTGCGTCAGCTGTAAGTTAGGCACATTACCGTCTCCCCCCCGGATATATCCCCATGGGGGGCAATAATAAAACAGGTTTTTTCGGGGGGTGGCTTATAATCGAGTAAATTTATTAGCGCCGGCGTTTATAAATGACATATTTTTTTTATTCTTTTAACACCAACTGTAGTCTCGTGCTTGCCTTTTCAATCGAGTCGGAGTTACATGGGGTCGTCTGTGAAATTCTCGCGCGCGCTGGGAGATACACCCAATCTGACTCACATCTAGCTCCTGACAGCTCCTAACAGCTCCTGCTGACGGACCCACATCCAGTGCAGGGTCCGAATGTGTAAGGGAACCGAATCTGCAACATATCCGCTGCTAAAGTAAAAATCGTTACGCGTTTTCTGAACACATTTCAAATTTTATAGTTTACGTGGCTTATAATAAAACAAGTTTTTTCAGCGGGTGCGCTTATAATCGAGGGGGATATAAGCGCCATATGCAATTAGAAGCGCCAGGCGCTTATCCTAGGGTGGCGCTTATTCCGTGGGGTGACGGTATATGAGGGTGTCCTGCTTCAATACCAACCGTAGTAGCAATCTGCTTCTAGGTTTAAATACCGTAAGCCCCGGATAGAAGCGCAGGCCTCGGATAAGTGTCGGCGCTTGTAAAAGGATGAGGGCGCTTATATCCGTCCTCGATTATAAGGGCACCCCTAAAGACTTACGGATTATAAGCGCCACCCTCTGAATTATTTTTTATTTTTTACTGGACGCTGTAACGAACACAATTTTTGCATCCCACATTCAGAAAGTCGAATCCCTTCACCCTCGCGCGACCAATGGCCTTCGCGTCCAGTCAGAATGACCTGTCATGGGGTCATCTGACTCATTCTGACTGTGCGTGTTGGCAGAGAATCAGCCACTGCCAATTTACGCGAGATTCACATTCCAGCCCTCTACAATATCGATTCGATTCAAATCGCAAGGACGAGATGAACACTTTGGTGTAAAAAAACTAGATTTCATATATGTCATTATATAAGCCCCGGCGCTTATAAAAATCCTCATTGTAAGCCCACCCCCTAAAAACAGTGTTTTTTTATACCCCCAGGGGCGCTTCTATCCGGGGGCTGATGGCAGGCATTTGTATCACAACTGTTACTAATCATTCCTTCCCACTGTTCACATTCTGAGAAGCCTGTCTGTACCTCCACTCATCTGTAAAGTTGTATTTGTACGCCGCTTATCAGGGCATGTTCCTCGTATCAGGGACACCTCGTATCAGCTTCGGTTTTTGCCTGTAAAATTGCGAAGGTTTTTGGTTTAGGGAATTTCAGTGTGCTGTGACGCTGGCCTATATGGTAGGAACATGCTCTTAGACACATCTTGACAGCTATGTGTGGTTAAATATGTTTCAGTGTAGACAACTTGCGGTTACGTGCGTTTTTTGTACGTTCGATGCGAAGGTGACAACAGGTTTGCCTGACAAGGGGTTGTAACATCACGCCCTAACACCTCGCATAACCACCATCAACTATACACCCGCATACATCATCATCCTTGCTCTCCCAGTCAATCGACCTACATCCAGCATTGCTCACTCCACAGCTTCTCCCTTCCTAGCTGCACATGCTTGCTGTGATTTACAATGCAACAAGCTTCTGCCCATCGAGCTGCCTGCACCCTGAGATGTAACCCAGCCTGCGCAAGAACCAAGCCTACTCCCATCATTCACCCACACCTGCACAGCACACTACTCACACTCTCATCCTCACTCCTCCACTCTCTCACTCTCTCCCACTCTCTCCCAATCTCTTCCACTCTCTCCCTCACACCACACCATCAGCTCACTCCCTCCTGCTGGCCATCTGCTCACTGAGCTCCCACAGTTTCCCGCCAGCCCTTTGTCCTTGCTCAGAACGCGCCCTTGCTCCTTTAGCGCCTCAAGAACCATTTTTGAAGCGTATAAAAAACCACCAATCAGCATCACTCCTTGCTGCCATCTGCTCACTCAGCTCCCACAGCTTCCAGCCAGCTCCATGTCCTTGCTCAAAACCGTCGCCTTGCCCTCAGCTGCCCGCGCGTCTGCGTAGTAGCCCCCACTTGCACCCGCCACTGAGGGGTGCGCCGCCAGGAAGCTGAGGTGGCCGCACCCTGAGGGAAGGGAGGAGAGAGAGTGGGGAGAGGAGGATACGGGGCGGTCAGGTGGAGGTGCGAGAGTGTGTAGGGGGGGGGGGGGGGGGGGTGGGGGGCGAGCACAGGGTGTGTGCCTTGAGGCGGCACGATGTGAGAGTGGCTTCAGAGAGAGAGTGTGTGAGAGTAGAATGGGCGGGGGGAAAGGTTGAAAGATGAGGCATGAGAAGTACCTCACTGGGCTTTGTTGCAGGGAGTGTCCACATGAGCATGGGGATAAGTTGGACAACCATGCATGGGGATGTGCCCACACCCCCAACCATGCATGGGTACGTGCGTGCACCCAACCATGCAGCAGTAACTGAGGGTGGTCGTGAGGTCAGGTGAGGTGAGGTGAGGTGAGGTGAGGAGGGGTGAGGAGGGGTGAGGGGTTGGTGAAAGCAGAGACAGCTCTTCTTCAATCGCTCTCAAATCGCTCTTGCAGCAGGGTTGTTGGAGGCATATCAGTAGGGTGCAAGTATATGAGTGTGTGCAGTGCGGTGAAGAGCTACTTCAACCACTCCTCTAAGGTGATGTACGGTGAACCGCGGTGAGGCGTGGTATAAAGTGGGTGGAGTGGAGGGTACCTGAGGAATGGTCTTCATGAACCACTGGAACACCAGGCTGTACGCTCCCCCTGGTGGTTGCACAGCATGGCAAGGCAGCAGTGGACAGGCACAAGCACAGGACGAGTGGTAGTATGACACAATGGGTGCTCAGCCAAAGCCGATGCAGAAGCAGGCTGCAAGCAGCGAGCAAGGATTACTGTGGATGAAGCAATCAAGCATGCTGGTATGTCCAAGTTGCCAAACAGCTTCCATCAACCCATCCGCCCCTCAGAAGCCTCACCTCCCCCTCTTTCACACCCACCCACCCACCCACCCACCCACCCATCCCATGAACTACGTCCCAAGGTGTGCCAGACAGTTCCGATAGCACTCTGGCATGGAGGCACGAAGGCGTTGCCTTGTCCCACAAGGTTACATTAGGTCCGCGGAACCCGTAATCCCCCACCAAGGGCCAGTCCGACGAACCAGGTCCAAACCACGTCTCACTTGCTTTCGCAGACTGGTCTGACAGACATCATCAACCCCAGCCATTTTCCGTGGCGGACCTGCAGAAGTGGCTCAGACCCGAACGTACCAGGCCTCGGACCAGTTGTGTTACATGGTAGCTAGTTAGTGCACTTGCCTGGTCTGTGAGCTGGCTCACAGCTGGTTCACCCTGGTCCGCAGTTTGTACTGCTTGATCCTCAGCAAACAGGGGTTCTGCAGACCCAATGCGGCATGCCCTCACGCACTCTGCCCTTTCCCCCCATCCCCCTACCCACCCACCCACGCACCCGCCCAACCACCCACCCACCCGCCCAACCATCCAGCCCACGTACGTCCGAGGTGTGCCACATGGTCCCCGGCGGCGCTATGTAGCGTGATAGGTTTGGTGTCAATTACCCCCGGGTGCAACGCGTTCACTGTCACACCTGCACCTCCTCCTGCTCGCATGGAAAAGGGAGAGGAGGCGAGAGAGGGGAAGGGGGAGGGTGAGGGAGAGTGTTGGTGAGGGAAGTGAAGGGTTCTTATTGTTCAAGGATCAATCACCCCCAGGTAGAGAGCATTCACAGTCATACCTGCACTGAGGTTTTCGAAAGGGAAGGTTGGGAGTATACTGTGCAAAGGGGCGAGCCGAGTAATGCTCGACTCGTCCCTAGCCTTGCTCGGCCGAGTACGAGCCCGAGTCGAGTAATATTCGACCGAGCATTTTTACACCAAACAGAAACTCGTTACTCGCCTTATATAAGGGAGCTCGGGCGATCATTTAGAAAAGCTCGTACGAGTACGAGCAATACTCAGCCATGTGCACTACTCCTGCATAGAACGACTCTGTACATAACAACTAGTGAGGCCATTCGTACCATAGTATTGGGGTTTCCAAGGCCGCCCAGGCAAACCCAAGGTGTCCCAAGAAGCCTAGGGAAGCCCAGGAAAGCCCTGGGTTGCCCTGGGTAGCCCAGGTACCTTGGGTTCCGCGCTAAGCCCATGGAAGCCTGCTTAGACCTGGATAGGCGAGTACTCGTCGAGCAAAAAAAAACCGCGGCGGTAAACCCCGGCGAGTAAAACTCGGCTCCACTCGCCCGCGTAAACATTTACAAAAAGCAAAACTCATTACTCGCACCCAAACGAGTAACTCGGGCGATACCGAGCGAGTATCTCGTCTCGTTGCACAGGTATGTTTGGAGAGTGGGGTCGAAAAAGAAGAGATATTTGGTGAAAGATTTGAAACTGGCATGTAACGTGCCTTTTGGGTGCGTTTCCTGCTTACATCTTCCTTCCCTCCACTCATTCACACACTCGCGCACAACCCGCGCACCTTCCCTTCCCTCCCACCCACCACTCCACACCCGCGCACGTCTCACCCACCCCCACCCACACCACCCCTGACACTCACACGACCCCCCACCACGTCATTCAGCATACCCCCTCTCCCACAGCCATGCACCTTGAGCCTCCTTGCGAGCTCCCGAGCGTGCAGGATATTAGCGAGCTTGGACTGCCCGTACGCCTTCATGGAGTCGTACCCTCCCTCCTTGGCGTTGATGGCGTCAAAGCGGATGCCGCCCCGGGTACGGGAACTGGTGGGCGGACGGACGACACGACCACAATGCGCGCCTCTGCGCCCTCCTGCTTGGCCGTCTCCTTGAGCTTTGGCAGCAGCAGGTTGGTCAGCAGGAAGTGGCCTGCAATGGGTAGGGCGTGCAATGCAATTGGGTGGGGGATGTGTGCAGGGGGGAAAGGGGATGAAAGGGAAGAGAGGGGGAGGGGGGCGGAAAAAGAGGGAGAAAAAGGCGGTGGAGATGTGGTGTGATCAGCCTGAGAGCCTCATGAGCCTGGGAGGGAGGGAAACAAATGCACTCAAGCCTACGAAGAGAACAACCAGCTGCTAAGACTCACTCGCACCACTCCCTCCCTCCACTCACACGGCGCACTGCCACCCCTGCTGTGCGCTGGCTGGGACCTGCTTGCTTGCCTCACCCACATGGTTGCTGCTCCCAACACTTACCCACGTGGTTGCTGCTCCCCAACACTTACCCATGTGGTTGCTGCTCCCCAACACTTACCCACGTGGTTGCTGCTCCCCTTACCCACGTGGTTGCTGCTCCCCAACACTTCCCACGTGGTTGCTGCTCCCCAACACTTACCCACGTGGTTGGTGCCGAACTGGTTCTCATACCCGTCCGCTGTAAGCATGAAACGGGCATATCATCACGCCCGCGTTGTTGCTGCCCAGTGGAGTGGGGTGGGGGAGGGGTTGGGTGAGGTTGGCTGGGCCGTGGTGGGATTGGTGGGGAGGGTGAGGGGGGGTTGTGGGATGGGGGGATTGGTGGGGAGGGTGCAGGGGGGGTTGTTGGGATGGGAAGCGAGGAGGGAAGGGGACAGTGGGGTGGGTGCGTCGAGGGGGGGGAAGGGTTTGGACGAGCAGAATGAAGTAAAGAGGAAAGGTAGAATGACTGGCATAATAGGTGGATATGGCAGGGAGCAGGGAGGGAGGGAGGAGGAAGAGGGATGAGGGAGCGAGGGAAGGAAGGAAAGAGGGAGGAAGGAAGAAGGCAGGGTGTGTTGATGGGGCACACCACAGCAGGTCATTTCAGACGCAACTTCAGCTCTCCCCCGGCCACAAGGGCCCCCACCCTTTCCCCTTCCTTAATCCCCCCCCTTCACCTCCCCTCCCCCCTACCCTCCCCTGCCCTCCCCCCTGTATCACCTTCGTGCCCCTTCCTTTCTCCCCCCATCCCTCCCCCTTCCACATCCCAGACTCCCCCTCCCCCTCCCCCCTCCGCGCGCACATGAGCAGGTGAAGCGGGCGGTTGAGGCGCAGATTGTCCGCGGCGAACACGCTCACCGACTTGAGGCGCAAGGCCAGATCCATGGAAGGCATCACGCTCAACAGCGCTCGCGCACCGCCGCCGGAACCCCCGCCGCCCTCCGCGCATCGCGCCTTGATGTCTTTGTGATGGCGGCTTTGGCGGCCTCCCCCGCCTCCGTGTTGCGCACGCGCCTCGCAGCGGCTGGGTCTCCGCGCCGCTGCTGGCGCCTTGGGGGGAGATCCGGCGGGGGGGAAAGGGGATTCACCGGGGAGGAGGAGATTCGCAGGGGCAGGGGAATGCGGTGGGGGGAAGAGGGGGGGGGGGGGGGGGAGGGGAGAGGGGGGGGGTGGGAAGGCGCGAGGGGGGGGGGGAGTGGGGGGGAGGGAGGGGAGGGAGAGGGGGGAAGCAGGGGGTAGAGGGATTGCGCGCGGGTGAGGGAGGCACGCAGGGGGGAGAAACCTTATTAGAAAGGAAGAGGTTCGCATGCGGAGCAGAGCTGGGTGCGCGTGGGAGGAGGAACGGAGAAAAGGGGGGAATCGTTTTTCACACATGACAAGAAGAACCCTCCATACACTTTCCACGAATGACAAGGAGGAGGAAAGAGGAGCCTGAGTCTAGGGTGGAAAAGAGGAGAGAAGGGCGAAATCTGGGCGACGACGAGCGGAGACGAGCAAGATCAGAAACGGCGACACAAACCAAGACGTGGAAGAAATGCGCGTGGTAAAGCGCCTCGGGTGGAAGCTAGGAAAGAACGTGGAAGGGGAGTCGGAGAGAACGTCGCACGCCGCCGTTGCGCGTGCTGCTGCCGTACCTCACAGCTACGGTATCGCGTCCGTGCCAACCCCACCCCCAGCCCCCTTCCTCCTCTCCTCTTCCCCCTCCTCTCATCCCCCATTCCCCTTCCCGTACCATTCTGTTCCCACCTTGCTGTTCCCCATTCTCTCCCACTTCCTCTCCGTTTTCTTTTCCCTTTCCTCCTTTCCTCTTCCTTTTCCATTCATATATCGCCTAAACCCTAAACCGGAGTCTCCATTCCCCCAAATTGCCTCATCCTTCCTAACTTTGGTTGGGTGTTACCAAGTTGATGCTCATAAAAGGGACACGCCCTGACTACTTCACAAACCGTCTCGGTAGCTTCGTTTCTCGAAATTACTGCACTGGCGAAGACGATTTCTTTGCTTCCATGAAGTGTGGCGCGAAGGATTTCCTGAGTTGCATCCCCAATTTGGCAACATTGCCGAGAGTTCTCCGCGACTCATGTCACGTCAACCGATTTCGAGGGTGACCCTGTTTCGCGGGCCAATCCTTTTTTCCAGCACGATTGCCACTTTGCCGCTCAAATCGACGCCCTCCGTCACATCTTCCGCCGTCGACCGGTACCCGAACTTTGACAGATCGGCAACCGCTGACGTTGATGGACCGGAGGCGGAAGCCGCATAAAGGCGTGGGCGCGCGGAACCGAGAGGATCAGAGTGGGCGCGAGGGGTATGGCGCAGCGATAGTGTCGCATGGAACTTCCGAGATGGTGACGAAAGACGATAAGTGGTGACGGGGAGAGAGGACCCACGAGAGACGCGGTGCCGAGACCAGGAACCATGCTCTGAACTGAACTAGACGGAGTACGCTCGCTGCTGGGGTGGTGGCGCGGCGACGAGAAATTCGCTATTCGATAATGCCAGCGACTCGCTAAATGGAGTGGTAACAAGAAGCTAACCACCGATGACATGCATTGGGGAATTCAATGTTGTTTGTCTCCGTTACCCCCTAGTCATCACAACTAGCACATCGAAAATCTGGAGGCGGCTACGGAGGGGTGCGTGGTGCGTGGCTGGCGGAAAATTAGTGGTGCGTGGCGAAATGGTTTTGAGGCGCCTCAAGAATCGTGGCAGGGCGGTACTTCACACAAGCCATCATGCAGCAACAGCTCTTGCTCTCAATGCCAACATACGGCACACACGCGTACTTTCAGAATTACTTATGAAGCAGTATTACGTGCTCGCCTCCTCATTCCTCCCCCTCCCTCCCCATCCCACCCCACCTCTTTCCTCCCATATCCCACCCCTCCCAGGAGGACGGCTTCCGGCCTGGGCTGGTGGGAGGGCTGCTGGCGTGCGAGCGAGTGCTGGCGATAGTGGCAGGGCGGTACTTCACACTCGCCATCACGCAGCACGGCCGCCTCTTCACCTGGGGCATCCCCCAGCATCCAGCCCCCACCCGCCCGCCATGTTCACGTCAACCACGCGGCGCCAGCCCGGCGGCGGGGGCAGGCACCGCGGGCTGTTGACTCTCAACTCGGCCTTCCACGCGTCCGTCCCCTCGGGCGCCTCGTCATCCGCCGCCTTTCCTTCCGCCTTTCCCCCCAGCCTTCTCCGTGGGCCCCTCCTACGTGTCGCTCTCTGCCACGCCCGACCCCGCGTCGCTGTGCGCCGAGCGCGTGTTCGCGCAGGCCGCCGTGGCGCGTGCGGGACGGCAGCGAGGCGGGGTACCTGTACGGATGGACGGGGCCCGCGCTCGGCGTACCCCATGGCGTGGAAGCAGCCCGTTGCCCACGGCGGAAGCGCAGGGGCGGGGGCGGGGGGGGGGGGAATAATTCCGCGGACGAGTTCGCGCTGGCGATGCGCGTGGGGGGCGTGCTGCAGCGCGTGGGGGTGTCGACGGTGGCGGCGAGCGGGCACACCCTGGCAGTGACTCCGGGGGGCGTGGTGCTGTCGTGGGGGCGCGACTGGGACGCGCGCACGCGCCACGCGGGGCTGCTGGGGCGCGCGGACTGCGCGTTCTGGCGGCCTGCGCCGGTGGAGGGGCTGACGGGGGAGGGTTAGGTGGTGGCGGTGGCGACAGGGCAGTATCACTCCGTTGCTATGATGGAGAGCGGTAGGGTGTTCACGTGGGGGCTCAACAACAGGGGGCAGCTGGGCCGACCAATCAAGAGCAAGGTGCGACAGGCTGAAAGGAGAAGGGGAGGTGTGGAAAGGAGGAGGGGAGGGGTGGGAGGGAGAAGAGGTGGGGAGGGGGGAGGGTTGGGAGGGAGAGAGAGGAGGCTGAGGAGGGTGGGAGGTGGTGGGAGAGGGAGCGTAGCGGGAGCACGTGGGAACGGATTTATGCGGAGTTATGAGGAGTTGTGTGGCTCTAAGTTGCCAAACAACAAAGAACAAATTGGTTGTGCATCTCTCATCACTTTTCCAACCCTTTCTACTCCTCTCAACCCTACCCTGAACACCCAACTGCTTTCTATGCTCTTCCCGTTCCCACCCACCTCTTGCACACTTTCCCATTCGCACAACAGCTTTTTGCGTGCGCTTGCAGACGGAATTGAATCACAGAAACATGTTATTGCCTCCTCATCCCTCTCCCTCCCACCTCTTCCCCTCCCTCCCACGGCCCGCGCCCCCCATACCTTCCCTCCCACACCCGTCCCACCCGATCCCACCCCATCCCACCCATCCCCACATCTTACCCCACCCCTCCCAGGAAGACAGCTTCCGGCCGGGGCTGCTGGCCCAGGAGCGAGTGCTGGCGATAGTGGCAGGGCGGTACTTCACACTCGCCATCTCGCAGCACAGCCGCCTCTTCACCTGGGGCGCCAACCTCTACTCCGGCGACGCGCCCTGGCGCCACGAGCACGACTCTGGCTTTGATAATGATGCTGATGCTGCTGCTGACGAGTTCCCAGAGAAAGCACCCGCGGGCACGGCCGGGAGCAGCAGTGAGAGGGAGGCGTGGCGGTAGCGGCTGAGAAACGCGGCTCTGGCAGCGGCCCAGCCGAGGGTGGTGGAGGCTGGGGTGGAGGGGGAGCAGGTAGTGGAGGTGGACGTGGGGCACGGACCACTGGGTGGCACTCACAGGGTCGGGCATGGTGCTCGTGTGCCACACTGGGTTCACTCCTCAGGGGATTCGGGTTGACCCTAGAGCAACACAGATCGTGGCTGGGAGTGGCGCTCGGGGTTCCCCTGGACCGCCCTGCTGCTGTGCGCGTGCCCCCGCATCTGGGCTCCCATCCTGCTGCTGGTGGTGGTGGAGGGGAGGAGGGGAGAGCGGTGGGGCCGGAGGTGCAGTCGGTGGCAGCGGCGCACCACACGACGTTTGCAGTGACGGCGGACTACAAGGCCGTGTCGTGGGGCGAGGCGGGGCCACTGCTGGGGCGAGTGTGGGGGGACGGCCAGGGGCAGGTGCCGGCGAATCGGCCGGGGGTTGTGGGGAGTGGAGGGGGAGGAGGGGCGGCGGGAGGGGAGAGGGTGGTTGGGTTGGATCGGCAGACGGTGGGAGCAGGTGTCGGCTGGGGAGGGCTTTGCTGTGGCGAGGCTGAGCCATGGCGTGGTGTACTCGTGGTGAGTGGCGCAGTCGGCAACCGGGCAGTTGGCAGGGGAGCCGACCGCAGGGGAGAAGTCGGCCGGGACGTCGACTGAGGTGCAGCAGGAAGGTGACGAAGGAGGGGACGCCGAGGAGTCCACCAAGAGCGACGTGGTGGAGGTTCGGCCTGAACCCCGGAAGTCAGGCCGACTTCGGAGGCCGCCCGACTTCTTCGTCCCCGCTGCCTTCACCACGGTGTACGACGTGGACGACGACGACCTGACGTATGACGACGCCGAGGAGGATGAGGAGTTTCCGGAGCTCGACCCCGACATGCATGCCGACCCCGAGCACCGTTGGGACATCTCGACGATGACGGTGAAGGAGGCGTTGGCGAGCTGGAAGGGCCCGGCGGTAAAGGCCGCCATGGAGGAGGAGATCCGCAGCCTCATCAACATGGGCACTTCGGAGCTGGTCGAACGCCCGCCGGGAGTAAACATCATGAAGAACCGGTGGGTGTTGACGACGAAGTACCACGTCGACGACACCGTCGAGCGCGAGAAGGCGAGGCTGGTCGTGAAGGGCTTCACCCAGGTGTATGGTGCCGACTACGACGAGACGTTCGCGCCGGTGGGCAGCTACGTCACGCTGAGGATCTTCCTCAGCATCGTCGCCGTCCTCAACCTCAACCTGATGCAGCTCGACATGAAGAACGCCGGGGCAGACTCAGGACCAGACCTGGACGCTGCAGCAAACACCTGACCCGACGCAGCTACCTGACCAGACGCAGTGACCGGAGGAGAGTCAGTGGTCAGTGTGTACAGGCTCGACCCCGGTCGGCGGGTAAACGTGGCCAAGTGTCGGCCCGTCCGAGCACACGTGCAGTGGGTCACTCGCTGGCTCGCAGGAGTGAACTGGTGAACCCCCGCATCCTGTAGGTCAGCACCACTCACCAAGTTCGTAGAGAACGAGGGGAGGTAAAGACCAGACAGGGTGCCAGAGGGGGCCGCTGGACACGGTAGGACAGTGGAGAAGTGGGCAAGGACAGGACCCCCAGAGGGGTCTGCCAGAGAGACTGCAACTGGCCGACTAAGCGGCGTGAGTGTGGTGCGGTCTCGAAAGAAGGAGCGGGAAGCCCCCGAGTCAAGGGTGAAGGTGTGGGAGGCCGGAGCCGACGCGGTACCTGAGAGAGCAGACTCACCAGCACCTGAGGAAGCAGACTCACTGGCACCTAGAGAAGCAGCCTCACCAGCACCTAGAGCAGTAGCCTCACCAGTACCTAGAGCAGCAGTCCCAATGCCCGGGTCGGGCGGAAAACACCGGTAACAGTCACCCTCATCACTAATAGTCACAGCATACGTGGCAGCAAGAATAGCATCATAATCAAGATCAAAGATAGGAACCCCAGCCCTAGACAGCTCGCCCCAGCGAGGGATCTCAGTGGCCTCAGGGAACTGGTGACGCCAAGCGTCCGTCAGGCGGCCAAAGCAGCGCTGGGTGGAGTGCGCACCCCCACACTGCTCACCCGCGCGGTCGCCTGTGCGTAGGACGTAGGTGCACGGACCAGTACCCCCACCCCGCTGACGTGCAGCGTACCACTCACGAACCGCTCGTGTCGTCTCCTTTCTCACCAAACTCTCCTCTGGCACCACCGCCTTGGTCACCCCTCCCTGCCTCGTCTCCGTGGCATGGCCTCACGTGTCCTGGTCTCTGGTCTCCCCCGGTACCTCCCTGCCTCGTCTCCGTGGCATGGCCTCACGTGTCCTGGTCTCTGGTCTCCCCCGGTACCTCCCTCCCCTTCCTCCGGGGCCTGCCCCTACCTGTGTTCCCTGCGTCGAGGGTCGGCAGCGTGCTGCCCCTCACTCCTCCCAGTTTCCTCCTACAGAGGACCCACTCCAGACGCTTCACATAGACGTGTGGGGCCCAGCCCGCGTCCGTGGACAGGGTCACGAGCGCTACTTCCTGCTGGTGGTTGACGACTACTCGCGTTACACCACAGTCTTCCCCTTGCGCAGCAAGGGTGATGTCACTGAGGTGTTGATCGACTGGATCCGCGCAGCTCGTCTCCAGCTCAGGAAGAGTTTCGGCTCGGACTTTCCTGTTCTGTGTCTGCACTCCGACAGAGGCGGAGAGTTCTCCTCTGGCCTCCTTCGAGCCTACTGTCGTGCACGAGGCATCCGCCAGACCTTCACGCTTCCGGACTCTCCACAGCAAAATGGGATTGCTGAGCGCCGCATTGGCATGGTCATGGACGTCGCCCGTACGTCCATGGTGCATGCGGCTGCCCCCCATTTTCTGTGGCCGTTTGCGGTTCGGTACGCGGCGCATCAGATCAACCTTCAGCCCAGGGTCTCCAGGTAGGAGACCTCTCCAGCTTTGCTTTGGACGGGGAAGGTTGGCGATGCGTCTGCGTTTCGTGTCTGGGGATCTCGGGCGTTTGTCCGCGACTTGTCTGCGGACAAGCTGTCCCCTCGTGCTGCTCCCTGCATCTTCCTTGGCTTCCCTCCTGACGCGCCAGGGTGGCAGTTCTACCACCCCACCTCGCGCCGTGTTCTGTCCTCCAGGACGTCACGTTTGACGAGTCGGTTCCCTACTACCGTCTGTTCCCCTACCGCACTCCGTCCCTCCCCCCCGCCTCCGCTCTTCCTTGAGCCAGGTCCCCCCCCGATAGACCCCCTTCCCCCTCAGGGTCCTGCCCCCTCAGGTGTGTCCCAGGTAGACGCAGTCGAGCCTGTTGAGGTAGCTGTTGAATCTGGTGCTGCTAGGGGTGCTGAGCCTGGGGGTGCTGACTCTGGGGGTGCTGAGCCTGTGGGTGCTACGACTGGGGGTGCTGAGCCTGGGGGTGCTACGACTGGGGGTGCTGAGCCTGGGGGTGCTACGACTGGGGGGTGCTGAGCCTGGGGGTGCTACGACTGGGGGTGCTGAGCCTGGGGGTGCTACGCCTGGGGGTGCGGAGCCTGAGGGTGCTGGGCCTGCTCGTGTGGCGTCTGGCGGTGCTGGGCCTGGAGTTTCTCCGGGTGCTTCGTCTTGGCGGGAGCTCCTCTCTCCACAGGAGGTGCGTGAGTGGTTTGCCCGGCGCTGGAGGCGTGCTGCTGGAGCTGGAGGTTCTCCTGCTGCTGAGTGTGCTCGTACCACGGGTCTCGGAGGTGCTCGTACTGGGAGTACTGGAGCTGCTGGGCCTGCATGTACTGCTGGAGCTGGGTCTACTGCGTCTTCTCGTGGTCCGGCTGGAGCTGGAGCTGCTGAGGGTGTTGGCTCTGAGTGTACTGCTGGCGTTACTGGAGGTGGTCCTGCTGGTGGTGCTGCTGGCGCTGCTGGAGGCCCTGGAGCTACTGGAGCTGCTGGGGGTACTGGAGCTGGAGGTGCTGCTGGCGCTGGTGCTACCACTGGGGGTGCTGGTGCTGTCCCTGCTGTTTCTAGAGTAGCTGCGCGGCCTCGGCCGTACTTCGTTCCGCTCCTTGAGCAGGTTCTTGGTCTCCCGCCTTCCACTGGTCCTCCTCCTCCCTTAGAGTGTCCACAGCCTGTTCCGTCGAGTTACAGTTACAGACGGCCTCCCCACTGCCTGCTCCTTCTCCCTACACTCGTCCTACTGGAGGTCTTGCTGAGCGTCGTGAGCCTGCGTCTCGTCCTGCGTCGCCTGTCCGTGCTGCTCGCGCTAGTGGTCGTGGTTCGCGTCACCGTCCTCCCCCTGTCCCCGGCACGCACCGGATGTCTCTCCGTCCGTCCACTGCTCCTCTGCGTGCCCCTTTGCCTTCGCCTCCTGAGTCCTCTCTTCCTGTTCTTGCTGACCCGGAGTCGGACTCCCTTCGTGCTGCCAGTCCTACTGTCACGCGTCTCCTTGCTACTGTTGTCACTGACCCTTCCTTTGAGTCCGCTGCTGCGTCTGCCTTGGTCACTGAGCTCGTCGACTTTGCTGCTCGCTGTCGTCTAGACTACGGTGCTAGTCTTGTTGCTGAGTCTGAGTCTGTCTGTCCTCCGTCCGTCGGGGGTAAGTGTGCCCTTGGCACGGACGTCCTTGAGGACAGGCAGGAGGAGCTCCAGTGTTTGGCTGCTGCTTCACCTCATCTCGTGTCCGTACTGCTAACCCCTGAGGGCGACCTGGATGCACTTGACATCCCGACTCCGCGCTCTTACGCGGAGGCGATAGAGGGTCCCTACTCCTCTCAGTGGCAGGCAGCCATGGACGCAGAGATGGCTTCCTGGAAGTCCACAGGCACCTACGTTGACGAGGTTCCCCCGCCTGGGGTGAACATCGTCAGTGGCATGTGGATTTTCAGGGTGAAGCGGCCGCCGGGTTCTCCGCCTGTCTTCAAGGCGCGTTACGTGGCTCGTGGCTTCAGTTAGCGGCAGGGAGTTGACTACTTTCAGACCTTCTCTCCCACTCCCAAGATGACCACTCTTCGGGTACTGCTGCACATAGCCACTCAGCATGACTACGAGCTTCACTCTCTTGACTTCAGCACTGCTTTCTTGCAGGGCAGCCTGCACGAGGAGATCTGGCTGCGCCGCCCTCCTGGCTTCTCTGGGTCGTTTCCTCCTGGTACCCAGTGGAGCCTCCGGCGGCCAGTCTACGGTCTTCGCCAGGCACCTCGTGAGTGGCACGACACACTGAGGACTACACTTGCGGCTCTTGGGTTTGCTCCTTCTACTGCCGACCCGTCGCTGTTTCTGCGCACCGACACCTCTTTGCTGCCGTTCTACATCCTCGTGTACGTCGACGACTTGGTCTTTGCCACTGCTGACACTGCTGGACTCGTCCACGTGAAGTCGGAGCTGCAGAAGAGACACACGTGCACAGACCTGGGTGAACTGCGCAGCTACCTTGGCTTGCAGATCACCCGGGACAGAGCACAGCGCACCATTACCCTGACTCAGTCACACATGGTGCAGCAGGTCCTTCAGCGCTTCGGCTTCACGTACTCCTCGCCTCAGGCCACTCCTCTGTCTACTCGTCACTCGCTCTCAGCTCTGCCTTCGGATGAGTCCGTAGAGTCGAGTGGCCCGTACCCAGAGCTTGTTGGCTGCCTCATGTACCTGATGACCTGCACACGTCGTGACCTTGCATACCCTCTTAGCATTCTGGCACGCTATGTTGCTCCTGGGAGACACAGACCGG